TTTTCGTCTTTGTTTTCGTTGTTTATTCTTAGATGGTTCTTTCTCTGATGAGTTCGAAACATTGCCTGCCTATTTTTTTTTTTCTTCTTCTTTTTCGGAAAAGGCTGTCATATACACCGGAGGAAATCAACAGGGAGTCATCAAGGAGTCGAAATGGGAGGGATAGGTCGGCGTACCTGATATCATTATTCTGTTTATCCCATATTTTACCATCTACATGCGCCTTTCTATCATCATCCCGTGTTTGTTTTTGCTTTTCCATCCTTTAAGTCTCGCCGGTGGGTCGTGAAGCATTAATACTTTAATGCTTTTACATCCTGAGCAGGATCTGAGTTGATATATTCCACCATCTTGTTGTGTTTACGTTAATTGTCTTGTTTCCTACCCTTACTGGCAACTGATGTCTATTTCATAATATCATGTATTATCCCCGTCAGTCGCCATCATCGTTCACTGCTCCCTCTGTCTGATCTTCTCATGTATCCTATGTAACTGCGCCAGCTAATGTAACAATATATGGATTATTCTTAATACTCCCTAATACTCAACCCGGTCTTTAGCAAACTCTTACTTGATCACGCACACCAAGCTAGCCGCGATGCCAAGCATTCTTCAATTCCATTGGCCAAGTTTCGACCCTCGACTGTTCCAAGGTTCGTTTCACCAACATCACTTAGTTATGCTTCAAACAACTTCAACAGAAATCCACCTATACATAAAATAATACAATGACTCTGGATAAGAATGGCCAGCGATGCTTTGGTTTACTCTCGTTTTTGAAGAAAGCGGTCCAGCACTCGCGGGCATCTCCTTCGGCAGCTAAAATACCGCGCACATACGTTCTCGGCAACACCTCAGCAGATCTAGATTCAATTATCTCTGCAATTATATATTCTTACTTTGCATCTTCAGCGACATCTGAAAGAGGGATCCAATATATACCAGTGATAAATTTACCAGAAGTCCCAGCAGGGAGAGAATTGAGAAGGTTACGACCAGAATTCGTAACAGCATTGAATCTTGCTACCCAACGGCCATTGAAAACTGCGCAGAATGCGGCCTCTAAGGACTTGAAAACTTTACCTGATGACGAAGATACCGACAATATTCTCAGTGAAAGTATTCTGACAGTTGCATCGCTAAGGGATGAACTAGTGAATTGGAAACCATCAGATGACAAAAAGGCGATATCCTTGAATATTATTATGGTGGATTGGAATGCATTACCCAAGACTTCACCTCATGCGTACGGAATTCCCGGGGTTTCAGACAAGGTCGATGGTATCGTTACGTCCGTGGTGGGCTGTATAGATCACCACGATGATGAGGGCTTCATCTCAAAGCATCTAGTTCCAGGACCAGGGACCCGGGTGTCACATATTCAAACTGGGGTGGGGAGTTGTACATCCTTAGTTGTCTGTGAGCTTCGAAAACTCGGATGGTGGAGAGACGTTGCCGGTGATAATAAAACGATTTCCGAAGGACAGAGTCTTAGTAACAGTGATGCGGAATTCGAATCACAGGCTGCACAACTTGCTCTGGCGGCTATATTAGCAGACACTACGAATATGACAAACGAGAGCAAGGTATTTGATGTGGATCGAGAAGCCGTGAGATTTCTAGAAAACAAAATAAACCAATGCAAATCTATCAATTGGGACCGCGGCAGATTCTATGACCTCATTACGGACGCCAAATCTTCCAGTGTGGATTACCTGACGGCCCACGAAACATTGGGAAGAGATTATAAAGAATGGACAGACACTGTTGAGCCCGGCCGTAATATAAAGATTGGGATATGCTCTGTTGTCAAGCCGGTGTCTTGGATTCTTAAAAAATGCGGATCAGAGTATTCTGAAGAGGAATATGATGAGGAAGCATTCTTTGATGTTCTGCGTTCTTTTTCTAGTACCCGAGGGCTTGACGTTGTTGCCGTTATGACTGCGTTTTCATCTCCCTCTGAAAACGAGTTCCAGCGTGAATTGGTTGTCACAGTGCTGAATGATAGGTATATTTCTAATCTCGGAGAATTCGAGGATGCTGGTGCCGACTACCTTCGTCTCGAGAAAAGGCCGTTTAATGAAAAGAATAAGGATCTGGGTCAAATAGGTCGGAACACGCGTGTATGGCGACAGTTAGATGTTACAAAGAGTAGAAAACAGGTAGCTCCTTTGCTGCGCCGGGTGTTTGCCGGGGAAACCTGAATCAAGAGACTGAAATTTGGACTTGAAGAACCGTTTCATATTATATCGCCCGTATAGAATTCTATCATCACATAAGACGAAAACATGTCAACATGAAGTCGTTCATAACAGATAGCCCAGAATGTAGAGACAAGAAGTAAAGCGAAAGTAGTCCAACCGCGGCTGTTTTCAAGTGAAAAAAAGATGACATAGAAAAGAAAAGCCGAATTTCATCACTCTCAAGACAGTCATATATGAGCCGTACCAGTGACAGTAAAGTATGTGACTTCGAAAAAAATAAAAAAAAAAAAATAAAAATGCCAGAAAATAAGAAACGCTCAAATACTGTAGTACATTAAGCCCCTTATTAACTCTAAACATAAACCGGGTATAGTTCGTATGCACCAATCGCCGAATAACCGCCAACATTATATGAGCAAGGACCTAGAAATCAAAAATAAGTGGGCAAAGCCTGTCAGTGGAGTGCATAGTGGAAAGGGAGGAAGTAATGGTGGTATCAGAAGCACTCCCACTCGCCCCAAACACACCACCTCGCTGTCCGGTCAGCGAGGACCAGCCCTCTCCAAACACCACGCTCGCTGACCTTGATGACTGTCTCCCAGACACTGCCGTCTGGAGGACCGTCAAATCCAGACTCGGCATCGGAGCTTGTAGTGATCATATGGTCTGCTTTTCGACTCAGCCTTAAAATTTTCCCAGATGGTGTTTGTATAGCCAGTTTTGCTGGTTTTTCTCGAGAATTTTGGTGTTTATAGTTGCTCGAGACAGTTGAGGACGTAGTGGACGCATTGGATATGGTAGCAACGGAAGACACCATACTTAACGCACTAGACGGCCTAGCAAAAGGGTTTGGCGATACACGTCCACTGGGCTCCTCCGCTTTGGGAGACGATGGTAGAGACGAGGGGTGTTGGCGGACAGCAAAGACGAAAGTATTATTAATGGTAAGTCTTGCGCACTGAGGTTGGATGACATATAGATCGTGTCTTTGAGCATGGGGAGTTGGATGACGGATAACAAATTCGTACGGGGGGTTGTCTCCAGTGTGAGTGATTGGAAGAGCGAAGGCCAGAGCATGGGGTATATCCTTGATAGAATGCATGAGCCCTTTCTTTCCAGCATATACCTTTAAAACTCCTTGTCCCTCGTCACCGGGAAGCGCAGCTTTGATAGTAAATCGCTTCTGTCCCTGTATCCAATCAGGTTGAGCCAGCGCACGCTTGGTAATAATGTCACCGCTCTCAAAAACGTCCCCGTCAGCATCACGAGCAAAGGCAATGGCCTCGACCTCTGCGATACACTCAATGTCAGGTGGAACAAGAACCCTAACTTGTAACATTTCCAAATCCGTGAGACGGACAAGGCTAGTGTCATAAGTTGGCATATGGAGACCATTCTTAAAATACGCGGGACAGGCACATGGTAGTGCAAGAAGGACATCCGGACTAATCGGAGGACATATATGCTGGTGTTCGGGTGCAAGGGGTATATGGGTGTAACATATCTCCATTGGGCGCGCCAGGAAGTACCATGTCTCCGCAGCCTGGGGATTAAAGCTTGAATAGAGTGCTCTCCGTGGGTGGGTTGGGCTGGCAAGTGAACAGTCCATAACCCTCCATTCACCATCGATGAGCACATTGTTCCACCAGTGGTTGACACGTGTATAACCGTCAAATTCCAATTGTTCACCGGGTGTTTTCAGGTATCCCTGAACGACTTCAGCATGGAGACCGACAGCATCGCACATTTCCATCACCAAGACAGCCACTTCTCGGGGACTACCTCGTTTCATTTGAATTACCCTCCGTACATCAACTTCTCCCTCAATTTCTTCATCCCATACGATTTTCTCTGCAACCCAAGTGAATATTGCTCGTAAACGTTGAACATCACTCCGATGAGGTCTGCAAACAAAGCCTTGAGCCAAGCTCGCTGGGCTTGTCATTGGAGGTAAACTGTTGATGAACCGGGAGCTTTTATCCACAAGTTGTAGATTTACTGCAGCCCAATTGGTGGGTTCCGTTACCGGTAATCCATCCAGCCCTTCATCGCCTTCGGCACATTCATACAGCTCCTCAACTGCATATATGACAGGATAGTCCATCATCTGGCACCGCTCTGCTCTCTCCACCAGCTCATTGCGGCTGGGAGAAGTTGCACGATTAACATCTCTGCGGACCTGAACCCAGTCATTACCTCCTAGGCCTGTGTCAGCGGTAGTATCTCGGTCCTTTGTCGGAGAAAAGCGTCCAACACCACCCGAAAGAAGCCCCTTGGTTGGAGACAACGAACGAATATGCTGCGCAGTAGCAATACTACTTCGCGCGGTTGCAGCTCCTGTTTTTGCAGATTCGATCATCTTTTTTAAGAAACCAGTCTTTTTTGATTTAGGAGTTGTTAATCCTCCAAAGATACCAGGTGACTCTTCATGCTTGTTATATTCAGTCCAGCCAACAGCGGAAGTAGCTCCTTGTCTGGGGTCATCTTGGGGTAGATGAGGATAACTTCCGGATTGAGACGTCATCGGGGTGTACGATCTTTGTTCCCCAGCGGCATCATCGCCAAATCCAGTAAAACCACCTGACCTAGTGCCATCGAAGGACCTAAACATCCCGTGTCTCAGTTGGGATGTCTGTTGATGGCGCTTTGCGAAACTACCAGCACTAGTAGCACTAAATCCGCCTGCAGATGTACCACTCATGAGGCTTGGGTTGGTGGCACTTGTGCTTGCAGTGCTGTGTGTTGTATTGCTTTGGACTCCAGAAGATGAATTGGTAGCAATGGATCTCGTGGTAAATGTCCGTCCAAGAGTATCCCGCCCTGAGTCGTAAGTTAAACCCCGTGTCCTTGTAATCATTTGCTGCGAAGGTGAATAATTATATTCTCCTCTCCTAGGAGGTGGCGGAGGGGGGTTGTCATCATCTTCTATAAGCATAGGATTCCCTCTGTCAGAGCCTTCTTCTTGGTTGTGCAACTGCCTTAGACGAGACTCCATTCTCTGAACGTAGTTACCAAGCTGCGGAGGACCATCCTGGAAGCGGTCATGGAAACTCTCTGATGACTTATGGGCGAAGTGGCTACCTCGGCGACTGTATTGGCTGTTCCCTAGTCCGAGTGAAGTAGACGGTCGGCCAGCAAACTGTTGACTTGGTGGACCACGTAGATTATCGAATGCTGCGGGCGACCATGGATTGAATGGAGAGGGGGTCCGCTGTGGTTCTGAATGAGGATCATGAGGCATACTCATGCCTTGTAAAGAAGACATTACGTCTTCCATGGCATCCCGCAGTGGAGAAGGTGTATGACGGTGGTGAGTTCCTGGGGAAGGTGGATAGGGCGACGGCGTCCTAGAAGCGGGCCGGAATTCATGGTTTTCTTGCTGATACTGATGGTCATGCATGGAAGATTCAGGCTGTACATATGAAGGTTGTCTTCGAACTGCAATTCTATGTGGCGGAGGGGGCGGTGGAGGAGGTGAAGATTCAGGTTCAAATTCACGAGGCTCGGCTGGTATCATCATCGGTGGTGGTTGCATTGGAGCCAATGCCAGCTGTGGAGTTGGCTGCCGTTCTGGTTGTGGTGTAGGCTGTCGTTCTGGCTGTGGAGTTGGTTGCCTTTCAGGTTGAGGAGTTGGTTGTCTCTCGGGTTGTTGCGAGTTGGCATTTCGAGTGGGTAGAGGCGTTGGTTGCCGCGCCGGTTGGGCAGGAGAGACTGCCCGTGGATGAACACGAGACGTAGATTTCCGCCGCGGAGTCCTGTTTATGACAGATTTGCGTCCACGTGGAAGTGGTTCAGGCACAGTTGGTGCTTCTGTCTCTTTCTCTGCATTCTTCTTTGCCAGCTCTGCGGAGGGGCCCAGGACTTGCTTGTAACCTTGGAAAGGCTTCCTGAAGATGGTCTTCTCCTTTTTGGGCGCATACAACGGGGCATTTGATGGGCTATCTGTTACCGGCGGAAGAGGGCTAATAGAGCGTGTAGCCGGCACAAAGTCATCTTCCAGGACCTTCACAAAGTTCGATGGAAACACACCGACCATGCGCCTGTCGCGTCGTAAACGACCGGTCCACCATGATCCGTCTCCAGCATTAAGACACTCTATCAGATCACCTTCGATAAACCCCAAGTCTTGCTTTGATTCACCTCCCCATGAGTATACTGCTCGACACCAGCATGGGAATTTGGTCGGCAGCTCTGGTGCCTGAGGCGCCATTCCACCTAGTAACGAACTCGGCTCAACAGCAAGGGAAAAAGGAAAACAAAAGAGCAACTCGATCTATAACCCGATAGAGCGTCTTTTTAGATAGTCGGGGACCCCAAGAGAAACGAATGTCTTAAGCCATAAGAATAGTACGGCCGAAGGGAGAATGGACGGTGGTAGTGACGGCGTTTGCTGTATCCAGTAGCGCTGTAAACAGGCAAAGAGCGGTGAGATGGAAGAAATCTAACGAGCGTAGATGGCAGAGACGAACACTATGCGGCGCCGTAAAGAGAGGAAGACACCGCAGAAACAGTAGAAAGGACGTGGATGGTGACGGCGCAGTCCTTCGATCGCAATGTTGTCCTTCGACCGTCGTCGTCCTCTCGTCGCTTGCGATGTTTCTTATTTGCGACTTTTCTTGCTTTGTTGAGCGCGGCTAGGTCACGGGGGCAACGCGGCTGTCGGCCATGTTTACAATTTCCCTCTTTGGGACTAGCGTGCTCTTATCGATAAAGCTCAGCTTTTTTTTCGCTTGTTATCAAAAATAGAAGAAACAAGGAAAAAAAGGGGGGCGAAGGGCCGAGACGGTCTGATAGCTAGCTAGCTATCTCGATCGCTACTGATATCGATAGCTACCGATATCGATAGAGGCGCGAGATAAGAGCTTCGGCTATGGCTAGCCGCCGCAGGGATAGTAAATGTCAGGTCCTTTGGCCACCAGACAGAGCTTGACGAGGGACATGGTGTCGCTGCTCGCGCAGGAGCATGGCAGCAACCATGATGAATGGGGGAGTTATGCGCCGAATCTCTGCTCCGTGAAACATCTCTGGCATTGATTGATAGTCACTTAAAGCCCTGACTAATAATTAGTCAAAGATCGCTGTTCCAGCCTGATACATCAACAGCATCCAGACGTCTGTTCAGGCCATGTGGTACGCACACACAAGACTCCTGATGGTGAAAGGAGTCGCAGCTGGTTCTTTGATGCCCCAAATGGAGGCGAATACTGAATTCCACAGGGGGTGGACCAATATTGTCGGCACAGGTCGACTAGTTATCTGTCAACAACATCGAGGACGGCGAAAATGGGAGAAAAAGTTTTCCTTCGGTCTAGCTAGGGTCCCTCCACTCACCACATGATGGACATGCAGCGCCTGCTCTCCTAGGGTAGCACAATCACATCCTTCATAAGAGCTACCGCCGAAATTCGACCGTTTCTCGCTCTGATCGATCATGTTGGACAAAGAAAACATAATTGTTTTCGTTTCGCTCCTGCCAGCCAACCAACCACCCTTGTTTGCATGCAGAATTGCAAGGCCAAGGCACACCGCGGGGGGGCATAATTTTTTTCCCTTTCCTTCCCGTCTTTCTATACCCATTATACCCATGGTACGATGCAAGATAAACGGCTTTCCAACATGGCCGGTAAAAATAGGCTCCAATCAGCCCTAATATAGCCCATGTAATGTACCTGATGCGAAAAACATGCTACCATACAACCATGCATGGTGCCATCACCGCAGGGCGGACATATGTCAACGTCGCCAAGTTATGCAAGACCAATAACCAACTTCTTTCCTTTTTATCCTGTTAGCCAATTTCAAAGGAAACCGCTTAGGTTCTTGTTTCAAAAGTTGCAATTGCCGTCAACAATACTCAAAAGGTCATGGGCTAGCTATTAACCTACTTCTCCAAACAAAAAGACTCGCCAGTATCATTTTACTGCAAGTTAGTGGTATATAAAAAAGAAAAGAAATGCAATGGGCTAGCTGAATGGAAAATTAGAGCCCATCTCTTCTGGAAAGCAATCCCGAACACCTCTACCAACTGGCCTAGGGACCCTTGCGTCTGAAAGCACCATCTGCAACCAGCAGAGCTAGGTATAATCGCACAACATGTGATAGTAGCCTATGTGAAGATGCAATTTCATACCCCCCCTGAAGCTCTATATGATATCCAAATATAGCCGGCAAGATATATAACACATCTCCCACATCTCCTCCCTCATCCCCTTTGGCGTGGATTATACTCGAACGCCAGCCATCATATCAATTCAATAATGGCTGTCAGCAGGTCACACATACATGTCTATCTTTTTGGGCATGGTTTCTTTTTGCCTCCAACGGAATGAAGACGGATATCACAGCTCATGTACGTGGGGGTATCCAAGAAACTGAACTGACATGCGCCAAGTGAGGTACTGAGCGGCACCAGCATGAATTTGCTGGGCCAACTAATCCGGCCCGTCTTTCTTTGCGGTCGTGCATGTCTACAGCTTTATAGCCCTTGTTCCCCCGCCCATAGCAGCTGTTGGATGCTCCTTTGTTGTATACATATCCCTTATATATACTGGATTCTGCCTCCCCTCGACTTCTGCCTGTTGATTTTCCCGACAAATCCTGCAATATAATATACAATCCACTCTACAAATCACCATGGGTCCCTTGCCGTCTCTTTTCTCTTCCGAGTCGAATGATTCATGGAAGAAGTCCTCTGTTGCTACATTTGGAGAATTCGTTGGGACCTTCATGTTCCTCTTCCTCTCCTATACAGGATGCCAAATTGCCAACATGTCCGTGGACCCCAAGGATTCTGCGCCTGAACCTAACCCTACTGTTCTGCTATATATATCGCTTTCCTTTGGTACCGCTCTTGCCATCAATGTTTGGGTATTCTATAGGGTCACAGGAGGGATGTTTAACCCCGCGGTATGCTTTGATCGGTTCATCATCTGGTAACTTCGAGTGTTAATCCTTTGAGATAGGTATCCCTGGCTCTCGCTTTGGTCGGAGCTATCAGCCCTATCCGAGCAGTAATGGTATCTATTGCCCAGGTTGTTGCCGGAATTGCTGCCGCTGGAGTTGTCTCTGCCCTCTTCCCTGGACCCCTGGTTGTCCAAACTAAGCTTGGAGGTGGGACTACGACCACCCAGGGACTGTTCATTGAAATGTTCCTAACCGCTGAACTTATAATCACCATCCTGATGCTGGCTGTTGTCAAGCACCGTGCAACCTTCCTTGCTCCGTTGGGCATTGGATTGGCTCTCTTCATAGCGCAACTTAGCGGTTAGTCAAGAACCGTATATATGCCCTTGCTTTTCCTGAACTTCTACTAATATAGAATGTTGTTACCTAGGTGTTTACTTCACTGGTGGATCTCTCAACCCTGCCCGTTCCTTCGGCCCAGATGTTATTGTAGGAGGATTTCCTGGATATCATTGGATTTACTGGGTTGGCCCCTTGCTGGGATCTTTACTAGCAACTGGCTTTTATCAAGCTCTCAATTTCCTACGCTATCAGAACGTCAACCCTGGTCAAGATTTTGATGGTATCGGATCCGAACTCATGGGAAATCCTGAACGTTCAGAGTAAATTTACTGCACTTGGGGCTTGTCCCATCAATCGGGCGCGAAACTCCTTCTCTTTGTTTTCCCTTGAACTCTCATACTGGTGATTATACCGATATTTTTTTTTCAAGAGTATTCTGCTGGCTTTGAGCATTTTAATTATTAATACCGTTATTCATCTCGTGTCAATTTTCAACTCGACCAAGTCTCTAGTTACATCCTACACATCAGACGTTTCGAAAAAGTCCTTAACAATGTGTTATTTGGTAACCATATATGATCTGTGTCACACTCCTTCATGTAGGCCCAAACGGCTGTTGTCACGGTAGTTATGGCTACAAGTTCAGAAAATTTACAAAAAAGAAAAGTAATAATCAAAGCGAAACAGGAACGGCCAGGCAATATTGAGACGAGTAGCTGGAGGACAGAAAAAAAGCCGTGGAAAAGGAAATATATGAATGAGAGAGAGGGAGATGCAAAGAAAACAAATCCAAGTAACAAACAGCTGTAAACCAAATAAATAAAAGAAGCGGTTATCAAAAAAACCAAAGGACCTAACTCCTCTTAGTTTTCCTTTTTCTTTTTTTTTTTTTTTTCTTCAAGTCTTGTCATTTTTTTACTTTATTTTTTTTTTTTAATCCTTGCAGACAATTGGTGGACTACCGTAGGATGTCCATCTTGTCCCAAGAGATATAGTATAATATCCCATTATATTTCAGCCCGAAACTTAAGGGCGCTCCCCCGAACAGCCGAGCCGATATTGTTCGGCCCCGGGCTAGATGGCCGGCTAGTGCCGTACTTGGGACTCCGGGGTTGCATACTTGTAGCACGGGTCGACGGGCGGTTCTTTTTCATTTCGCGAATTTCCTCTTCCTTTCTCGTCAAGAGAGTCTCTCTCGTGGCCAATAGGGATTCTAACTCCTTAATACGAGCTAGTTGCATTTCCCCATCTTTTTTCATTTTCAGTTCTTTAAGCCTGACTGCTTCGCCATTTGCTTTCTTTTCCAGCTCTTGGACTCTTTCCTCAAGCCGACGGGCCTCCATTGCCGATTGCGCAGCTGAAGTGGAGGCATTTTGGTATTGTTGACGGGTATATTCTGTTTGCGAACGTTCCTGTTGGACTGTCCGCTCGAGACTTGCCATAGTCTTTTCAAGCTTCCTGATTTCCTCACGAGAATTTTCCAGGTCAGATTCCAAGCCACCACCAGATTTGACGGTATTCCTTGCCGCTTCCAACTCCGTAACTAGCTCGGCATTCCGGTCCTTTAATCTTGTTATTTCTTCTTTCTGTCGCTCAAACCTTGTCTGTAACTTTTGAGACTTCTCTCTTTCTATCTCAAGCTCATGTCGAGTCTGATGTAATAGGTTATGTTTCGCTTCATAGCGGTATTGTAGAGCACCAATACTTGCTTCGAGCGTCTTCACTTTAGCTTTGCTATTCATTAGTGCGTTGCGAAGGGCCTCAATATCAGTGGCAGACTGATTCGTGTGACCTTGTGTAGCGGAAGGGTTGCTATTTTGATCCGTTTGCGTTAGGTCTCTCACTGAATCACTAACATGTGTGATATCCTGAGTTGGTGTTATTCTCTGTCGTTTTGATGGATTGGTGCTATCACTAAGTTCACTCTCCTAATAAACACACCAGTCAATTTATTGTAATTTTCCTATAATAAATGAGAGAGAAAAGAAGCTTACCAGCCATCTCTTTTGCCGTGAAGCATTGGTAGAAGAAGTTGGGTCAAGCTCTGAGCCAGGGGTTTCACCTTGTCCTTCTATCTCCAATGCTTCCATAAACGGAAGCTTCCATGTCCTGGTAGCAGGGTTATCCATGACGTACATCAGAGTTTCTTCAGCATTCTCCTGGACACCAAGAGCATCGTCTTGTAGCTCTCCCGACGAATCATTGCAAGCCAGTGTGTGTTGTACCAGCAAGCGAAGTCTAGTTAATTCAGTGCATTTGGGAAGGCATGCCTTGACATGCTCGACGGTATTGGCGATAATTAAACGGACAACGGGGACAAGGGTACTGTGACCGTGAGCAACCCTAAGCTTCTTTACAGGCTCAAGGTTTACGTCAAAGGAGCTATCCAGGGCTATGATAAGAGACGGTAGTCTCGATGCTAGCATGCCCCGCTCGTCGGTGGTTGACCGTACTTCGAAGCTGACTTTCTCTTTGCTGAAAATAGCAGGAGAGTCTCCGTGTTCGCCTCCTGGGAAAGGTGCTTGATTAAAATTCTTGCCCATCAAGTAGCGCTTGACTACATCAACGGTTCTCCCTGGTTTCGCCATTATGATAATGTGTAGGTCAAGTTCATTAGAGGCGTCAATAAGGTAACCAAGATATTGGAACTTTGAGCTCGAGTATTCAGCCCATAAAGCTTCTTTAGCTGTATCAGGAGAAGCTCCAGCGGCCTGGCTAGCGATGTCGATATCAGGGTGTGTCGTAATATTGTCAAGTTTCTCGACTAGAGTGGCCATTCTAGTGATCAGTCCTTGGCTCTGTGGAAACATAAATGGTTAGAGAATTCGAGCAAAGTAAGCTGGGAACATAAACTTACATCTCCTTCAAGAGATCCCATGTCACTCGATTGTGGCGATAATTCCAAAAATTTTTCCACATATTTGTTCTCACCTTCCAGGGTATTATCGTATTCATCCTTCACTCGACAGTCCATAGACAGCGGTATGGCAAATTCCATCTCGCTAAGAGTCAGGATATTGACTTCCAGTTCCAATGCATCCTGGTTTTGCTCTTGCGGGCTAGATGCATCAAGCTCGGTAGTCTCCGTTTGCACGGTTGGCTCTAGAGCCTCAGGAACGGAGGTAACCTGCTCGACATTGTAATGCAAGGCTTGAGGAGTGACGAATGGAATAGGCACAGAGCTTGGTGCTTCATTTCCAATGGCATTCGCAGTATCTTTGTCCAACTGTGAGTCGAGAGGTGAGATGATGTCTGACGCATTTGGTGGTGCAGATGGCAAGATATCTCCGGCAGAAGACGATGTCGTACTTTGAGGAAGGCTGTTAAGGGGCTTCGTAAGAGCACGATCGCTGTCCCACAGTTGCTTCATTTTCTCGGACACACTAGTTGCCCGCGTATGACGCTCTACTTCTTCGGCATTTGCCGAGGTCCCGGAAGCATTGCTATCAGGTGCTGAACTATTCATGGTTACCGATGCCGACAGGCGATTAAGATGATGTTGGTATTCTAGGTTACTGCTCTTTGGAATCACTTCGCTTACTGTCCTCTGAAGAGTCCTATTGTGGTTTTTTGAGCGAGAACTTGCGGTAGCTAAGGGCGATTCCTCAATAAAAGAACGAGACAGTGAAGTCTTATAATACCTGTGCCGATCGACCGCACCTTGGTATTCCGACTTCGGAACTGATTGGCAAGATTCAGTCACCGTATTAGAATTGAGGAACGGTGTCTGAAATTCTAAACAAACGTAAAATCAGTTAATCAGATACTCATCTGAGGGGTGGCTGCGCTTACCAGGGGAGCTTTGATCAGTGACCCTACGGCTTATTGGACTGTCGATTTCAAAGCCTGATTCACCTATTTGATGGGATAGTCCCTCCAACCTATCCAGAATGGGCAATTGAGAGGGCGGGGTTTCCAGTACTTCAGGACCGAAAAGCCGATCGCGCAATGTACGTTGACTGTGCTCTTTTTCAAGGGAAGTAGAGTGGGTAGTACTACTCGTACTAATAATACCCTGCAATGGCTGATAAGTACGTGCTAGAAATTCAAGATTCTGCTCCGTGTCCTGGCGAAGCTGCCGCGGAGGCGATCCACGTGTAGAAGTTAGCGTTCGCCCACGTAAGGTGTATGAACTGGCAGTAGATTCCAGTACCCAGGTAGCAGCAGTGGAATCAGGTATGCTGGATTCCTGACTATATTGATAGATGCGCCTGGGTGTTTGGGTATGATACGACGATTGGTTCTCAGTCGAAGCGATACTTGAGCTTCCGCCTACACGGCCAGATGACTCGCGGGATGCCTGGGTGCTTTGAGATTGGGTTTCAGGGCAAAATATACTGCCACTGGAGGCAGTTGCTTGGGAAAAAGAAGGGTTGGATGAGTTGGGGTTGGTGGATGATGGCTGTGAAGCCTCAATACTCTGCTGAGTAAAGATTCCTGGTGACGAAGAAGAGACGAGGTCCAGTGGTTTGCGACGAGGAGTTTGGCAAGTTCTCCTCGGCCTTTGTTCCTTGTACTGTTTTGCAGAGATATATCTTTTCTGCTTTTCAACCTCCCAGGCACGCACAGCCGCGTAACTAGCGCAGCTCTTTGGCTCCTATAACCAAAAGCGTATGTTCAGTATAAGAGAAAGAGGTTTCAAAACTGCTGAGGACACGAAATAAATAAAGAGGCACCATAGACAATCCGTCAATATATATATCTTCGCCTCGTCGTAGGGGCAGCTCTTCAAACGGCAAGCTCACTCACCCAAGTCGGTTCAAATGAGCCCTCCCACGCGATTAAATATTTGCCACCGGACTCGTCAAGTATACACTTGATTGGGTATTCCTGGCTGCTGTAGACTGGCTCTTCCCCGGGCAATTGAGAGGGTGAATAATTTTCTAAGTGCTGGCTGGCCGCAGTGCCACTGTCCAATACTTGTGAACTGGAGCTGGATGGAGTAGTGGTGCCTTTGGCTCCGAGACCCATCTTAGACTGCCGAACAGTAAAAGGAGGCCATTTTCATATAAGCAGGAAAATAGAAACTCGAGCTCTATAGAAAGAAGACAGCTACCAGTGGCTCTGACGGCATGGCATTGCACAGAGGAGCCCGGCCAGTTATGTGATTGAGAGAGAAGAGAAGATGTTTTAGTGTTAAGCATCCATGGGGAGTTCTTAGTTAAACTAACTAGTTAAACCGAGGGTCACGTGGTGTTATGTCATGGGCTAATTAGTTGCCTATTTAATTATCACAACCGGGAAGCAATTTTAACTAACTAGTTAACTAATTCATAACTAATTTACTAGTGGGTGGGCTAGTTCGGGGGCTGCAGGGAGATGCCCTTGTTTCACCCTGGTGCTTCCGAGATCGTTGATAGGCGGTTGTGGCAAAGTCTATGTTTTATTACTCTAGGGCAGTTTATCTTGCTAAGTTCGTATTATAGGTCACATTGCTTAATTCTTCTCCTCTGTTGCTTTCGATGCCTCAAAATCGAAACCAAGGTCTTCAAGTGTCAGACACGCTCTTCTCTTTTCCCCAAGTGCAGCATATTCTCGCTTTATCAAGGTGAACTTGGATCTTATCCATCTCTCCTTTTCACCCCATCTTATTCCCCATTTTCCATGTCCGCCATTTGCCAGTCCGGGCCTTGGCTTCGCGCTTGCCACCCAATCGTGCATTTCGTTAAGATAATCAGCGTCAAGTGGATAAGCTAAAGCATGAAAGGCTTTCCCGGGGCCTCGTGCTTCAACATTGGAGTTTTCCCACTCATACATCTCCTTCTTCGAAGGTAAATTAAGTCTCCCGGACCATACTCGAGCAAATGCAGCGCATTGATTCTCCGCTTGTACGAACGGGATAACTTTTTGGTGTAGTCCTGGAAACACAAGTGTTGGCTGTTCAATGTAGAATAGGTGTTGATACACATGCAACGTCCTACCACCATCGGAAACCACGGGCATGTCCAACCCAGAGAGAAAGGGAAAGGAGTAAAGATATCCCGTGCAAAAAAGGACAACATCAACATTCTCTATAATCTCACCATTGGAAAACCGGATTGCACGAGTATGACTCTCCGGTGGCATAAACTCGGCAATTGGCGGGTATTCTTTTCGATCTGACGCTACCCCCGATAAGAAATAAGACTCTGATTTGACTGATGAAATGAGAGGCTGTTGGCAGACTTTGTTAATCTGCCCCCCGATGTCTAGGCCAGAAGCAGAATTCCCAACAATAACAACCTTCTTGTCCTTATACGGCGTAGAGTCGAAATATAGCTTTGAATGGATTATTCCCTGGGGGTACGCTTCCTTCCATGCGGATATTCCAGGTATCGACGGTACATATGGCACATTGTAATGCCCATTTGCAATCACAACTGCGTCATATACGTCGGTTTGTAAAACTCCACTAACTAGATCTTTCCGGGTAACTGCCCAAGTCCCCAGGCTCGTATCTTTGGGTTTAATGTCCACGACCTGCACCTGAAATTGGATAAGATGTTCAACGTCCTGACTGTATTCTCTCAGATACTCAAGAACAGCTTCAAATGGTGGAAACAGCTGAGTTTGGTCAGGAAATGATAAATCAGAGAATTGCATAAGCCCATGTGGTATATTGGTCTCAAGTCCATCATACAGCGGCGAAAGAAATATTGCCTCCTTTTTAGAAGACTTGGAGCCTCTATGCCAGAATGGTATTTCCAAAGGGGTATTCGGGTCTTCTGATGGGATAACAGTAACGGCCTGGCCTTTACCTTCTGGTGGGGTTAAGTTCCATACGCCACCAACATGGTTTCTCTGTTCAAATATATCTATCTGCTCAAAGCATTGTTCAGCGAGAAGATATCTAGGCCTGTATTAGTGACACAGTTACTAGATTCCTCATGATAAAAACGTACTTTGCAGCAACCAAGCCACAAGCTCCCGCTCCAATAATAGCAACTTTCCGCACTGGTGGGGTTGCTCTTGTCATCTTGAAGATTACCGGGCTATAAAAACAAAGAGGGATGGCAGTATATAATAAAGATAACCTGTATACTTAAATAGTTATAAGCCAACTGATCTATTAGAAAACTCATTTATACCATAACAATAACAAAATGCATAACCCCTTAGAGTCGGGCGTGTGTAACAAATCATGACTGCACCCAAGACGCCGTATCTTTCGGAAATGCCAACTCTCTACGAAACCAGCCAATCAGCGGTAACCTCGGCATGGCAAACATGTCATTATTCCGGATGACTCATAAAGTTTAACGAGGAAATACAGAGAAGCCGGATATCATTGGTCCAGAAGTAAGGGTGTACTGTAATTTACCTAGTTTAGCAGCTTTATTCTAAAGATAGTAATTCTTTAACTTAATCCCGTATGACTATATCACATGGTTTTATTATAATCACCATCTGCAATGATACAAGTAAGGGCTTAGTAAGTAATTTATTACATCACGAATGGCGCTCCAAGGGAAAGCACGGACCCTGGCGCGGCTGTGAAATTCCAATAATCCATCAGGATAGAGCTACGTGAATATTTCAAGTAAACTCGGCATGATATCTCCATATTATTCTTGCTATTCTTGATGTTCTTATAAGACCAGAGACCTCCCCGAATATTTATGGCGTATCGGCCAGCATGGATAACAAACCCACCGCAAGCGAATTCTCCGGTCTTGCGGTGACACCTATTGCCTCCCTTCTCCCCGACATCGGTTCTCCCGGAGAGCTGTACCTCCACGCGGTGGTGATTCTTCTTTGGCCCTTTTCGTCTGCTACCAAGCAATTTGGCTTACTCCTTTCAGAACCGGATCCCCGTTTACGCAGTGGAAAAGGCCAGATAAAGGCGATATTTCGTGATAGTGCTGCCGAAGCTGTTGCGAAGTCCAGTATCGGAATCGGAGATACTGTTTATCTAAGCTTACTGGGAGCTAAATGGAAACGCAGTAGCCATGCTGACTCGGGACAGTTGGAGTATTCACAATGGGACTTACTATTCAGCGATAGAGTCCTCCTGGAGGTGGGTGGAGTTCGTCTGTGGAAAGGAGTTTCAGTTACTGATATTTAAACAGGCACAACGTAACTCTATACCGTTGAGTATAGTCAATATAAAACTCGGCCAACATGAAGGAGAAAATGAAGGGCTTACTGAGCTACCGGTCACACCAAAAAGGCTATCCACTGGCTTTTCGAGCCCTATATCTACAATAAATCGAAGCTGGGCGTCGCCTGCTTTCTCCAGAGGATCAAACACGTTATTTAGCTCGCCGTTACTCGATGGCCAAGTGGAGGAAGATGGATATATACCAGGAAAGGGGAGAAAGAGAACAAGGTTCAGCCGGCCGAGCAGCGAGTGGGTATTCGTGGATTCTGCACCCAGCCCTACGAAAGACGGGGATGTATGGGATGATGAGAACTTAGAGGCAGAAATTAATAGCCCAGATCAGGTACCGGGCGAACAAGCTATCGAAAACCGGCCGCCTTCGTCATCTCCGCCCTCGGAAAACTTCCTACCTACCAAGGAGAGCATGGTAGTCCATGAGACTGATACCCAAAATTCAGTGGAAATCCAAAAGTTCCAACCCGCTGTTAATGGTGAATCCCTGATTCCAGAAGCTTCAAATCATTTAAGCATAACTCAAGCTATAGAGCATGGCACAGCCTTGCAGCCGGCCGCAGAAAACCCAGGTACTGTCCTATATAAGCAACCTTTACCTCCTGATACTCTGGATACACAGACTCCTCTACTTCACCCGACTGCTTCTTCAGATACTCCAACTCTTCGCAACTCCGGGGCGGTAGCTGAGACCTCAGGACACAATTCCATAGCACCTGTCGACTCCACAGACCAAGAATTTCCTTCTGATAATGATGGTGCGAGTCTACATGAAACTGTTGAGACACACTTATCTCCGGAGAATCACCAAAACGAGGCTCTTGATCGCAATACAGAGGCAGAGTTGCCCCATGATGCGTCCAAGAGAGAACAACAGGTGCCATCTGATCGTCCTTCAGATCTAGTAGCCAATTCCCATTCATGCACTGGACATTTGGATAATTCCACTTCTACTGATAATCGCATTTTCCCAGAGAATGTGACAGAAGATGCGATATCTCACCATGAAAATATGGACCCACTCTCCACCTACAGTGATTCTTCGTCCATAGTTTCAGTAGATGAGAAAAGGGGCACGACGAGGCCATCTCAAGATGGACTTGGGATATACAAGAGTAGCCGGAGCCCCGACAATAGATCTACCCCAGATGCTGAGCATTTGGAGAATTCTCCATCTCCAGAATCTTACACTCAACACCCTGCCTCTTCAGATGGCAATGTTTCAAGTGATGTCGGAAACAATAACGTTTTGCCGGCCCATCCAGCAACGGAACAAAATAAACAAGAGATCTTCGTTATATCTGATGATGAATCAGAAGCCCTTGACTCAGAAGGCGAAAGTACGGCTGAAGTACAGACTAGCAAAAGCGTCCGCTCCTCTGTTTCCAGTGGTAGAGAATCTTCCTCGCGTTCTCCAACACCCTCTATTGAGAAATCCACATCGAACGAACGTGTGGAAGATACTACCCACAAAGATGTCTTGGAGTCCCAAATTCCTAGTTCCACAGCCGACACCAACTCTAACCAACACTCCTCTTTTCCAACTTGGGGGCATGACAACGGTGTAGTGAACCCTCCGGCACACCCGTATATGGGAGATCAAGAGATGTCAGTATCATTTTCGCCAATTGCGGCTGGTATTCTCCCTACAGCTGAATCTGATTTCTCACACCACGACCTTCGCAATTACCTATCTGGTGCAATGTGCCACCCCAGGGCTGCTCATATTCCTACGGAACTTGCGATTTCTGCAGACCATCCGGGAAACCTACACGGAGAAGAACTAATGTCACATTTCCTATCACCACAGCCCACTGACTTCCGCACTCCTGAAAATGTCCATGTCTCTTGGGCCCAATTAGATCCTAGTTTACGCATC